TTATTTTTTGGAAATCAGTCAAATGTCCTGGAAAACTGGCAACGGGGTTTACATTGTGTCAAAAATGCCGTCAAAAAAGCTTGGGGTGTCCTGGTTTTTACTTTTTGAAATATGGCAACCCTAAGCCCTGGATTCTATTCAGGATAAGTGCAGGAGGCCATATCAGATGTCCAGACACCAGATTCAGCACTCAATATATCCTCTTGCTTAGCTGAAATTAGGAAAGTTCTCCTTCTGTCAATCCCACCCAGTGAAACCCATCTGTCCCTGTGGCAAGTGGGAGAGGACCGCAGTCACCACAATGACTTCTGGGTGCAGTACTGACACTCATCAGCTTGAGGTAACAGGATGCTGTCACAGTGCTAGAGCTAAGCAACCCATTTCTCCCTCACAAATAATCCTGGAGGCTGTAATTTGTCAAGGGTGCTGGGAATTGTAGTTTTGTGAAAGGTGAAAAAACACAATTCCTAGGATGCTTTGTGTGTACTGCCAAGAAACCACTTCGAATTTCCCAAAGGAAAAGCATAATACAACCATAATTAACAAATGGGCATGATCCTGATCCATGCCTGGTTCAAAGTCAATGTGAGTTAACTGAACACCACAGAAAAGATGCAGAGCAAAGATTATGCCAGACAGAGTGGGAATAATTATTTCATCATATGTGGTTATTATTTCTATAATATGGTTGGAACTAACTTGGAAAGAGAGTCTTATCAGGTGCTTGGAAGTCCTGTGATAATGTCTTGCTTGTAGACTGTGTGGGATGCACCTACAGTAATGACCTTTGCACATGGTCAGAGGCACTTACACCTTTATTACTTCTTTACATGGTCATTTTGGAAAGGACCATGTTTGGTTGTGTGAGCTAGGGGACAACTTAAAGGAAGTTACCTTCAGCTCCTGCATGGTAAATTCTTTGCCATGCTCCTTGGCACTGTTGATAATGAAATCCAGAGCGTCGCTGTGAGCCTCAGGATCCTTCTGCTTCAGTTTCTCCGAGATGGCTTTCTCCATGTACTCGTGTAGCAGATTCCTGGCCTTTATTCCCTGAAGGGTTCAGAGAAAAAACAGCAATGGCTAAGGAGAAAGGCACAGACGCAGACACACACACACACACACACACACACACACACACACACACACAGGTCTAGCCCCTTTGGAGGCCGAAGAAGTCAGAAGTCGCTTATTGCTTGGAACGTTCAGGCAATCTTTTACCGTACTTCTCCAGGTAGGAGCTCATTATAATTAGAAGCGGCGCTTAATATATCCTCTTCCTTCGCTGAAACGGGGAAAGTTCCTGTCAATCCCGCCCAACGAAACCCATAATCAGTGCAGTGAGAAAGGAAATTCCGAGGACTACAAAGCCTTCAGCCGCTGAGCTGCCAAATTTTGAAAAGGTGAACAATAAGAGGAAGCCGGGAACTCCAGCGGTGGGGGTGGAGGAATCCGAGATCCTGAAAGTCCACTGGTTGCTAAAGAAAAACCCAAATGAATGGCACCACACCTGGCCCAAACTTGCGCTAGACTTGCGTGTGTTTATGTGAACAATCCCAAATTATACCGGGAAGGGAATCGTTTAAAGCTTTAAATCGTAAGGCGTCGCAGCCGGTGCAATGGGAGCACGGATGAGACAGTGTTTAAATGGATCAGGCATGAACGACTTTCTGGAAGCAAAAAAAGGAGAAAGGGGAAGATATTCGAGGAGATCTCAATGCCTTTTCCACCGCCACCAGGCAGCCACCGTGACCGTACAAAGGCACTCTGCATTGACGACGCCTTTACACCGCAGGACGCAACTTGTTCCTGCCTTTTGTGCAATGCGAATGCGATCGTCTTAACTCCGAAGGAAAGAGTTCAAATGGGATTTGCTTCCAACTCAAAGAATGCTGTTTTGGATTATTGCTTTACTTGTCGGGAGAACCCAATGGATTTCTACGAAACTCGCTCGGGTGTGGGGGTGTGGGGGGTGATGAGAGAGCCTTAGGAGATCCTATGGACCTGGGAAATCAATAAATAAGCCCCAATGAGCAGTGAAACTTGGTGCAGGTCTACTCAGAAGTAGGTCCTGTTGAATTCAACGGGGTCCTTAGGCTGCAGCCACAAATCTCTGTTTACCTGGGAGTAAGACCCTGTGAATTCAAAGAGACCAAGACGCATTGAATTCAAAGGAACCTAGTTTTAGAGGAGAGGTGGTCGGCACTGCGCGACCCGCGTTCACGTGCGCCGCCAAAATCCCTTCACAGCCAATAAAGGTAATGAGCAGAAGCCACAGAAACTGCTCGGTTGCAAGGAACCGGGTGGTTTCGACCAGGCTTTGAATCTGGACCAGTAAAGATCTCAGCCTGCCCAGTAGCCTGTCGCTCAGGTTAGAACTGGCACCTGTTCTTTATGGGCTCCGCTGGGTTCCGAATCGTTTGGGGGCTAAATGCAAGGCTCTGCTCAGGTCCAGGCAGCGCTCCCCCCTGACCTTTCCGATCTGGGAATGAGAACCAATTTGCGGTTCTGCCGCTTGTCAGGCAGAAAGAGCCTTTTTTGTGGTGGCCCCCTAAGCGTTGCGATCAGTGTTCCAGCACGATGCGACAGATGCCGGAGTTTGTCCCTTTTAAGCTGGACACCTTGGGCAATTCAGACCTTTCAAACTGAATTTCGCACCGTTCATTCTATATTAGAGTCAATGTGCAACTGAACATTGCAACGCGGGTGAATATTAAATCCATTTTTTAAAAAAACCCTTCCTTTTCAAAGGCTTTAGAATAGGCAGGTAGTTATTTTGTTTTAATTGGGATTTTGTGCCTTTAAAGGTTGGTTGCTGTCTCATTTGTGCTATAAAACTTAATTGCGTCCTGCTTGGGGGGGAAGGGGGGGTTAAAATAGCCTACACAAACAAATACGCAAGAGGTGCATCTCTGAGCAGGTGCAGAATACCTTTCCAGCAGAAAATTATTCCAGCTGCTTGGTCTGAATAGAGGATGGGGCTCCCGAGAGCTCAAAGCCAGAACCTCACCCCACCTCCGACCCCCAAATAGGCCAGAAAGGGGTCTTTCACTCACTTTAATACTTGGTATTGAGGAAAGCCGCCTTGGGACACCCATAGTCTTGAAAGGCGGCCTAGAAAGATGTGAATTATAGTAATAAATAAGGTCTATCCGATGTAAAGGGTAGGAATACAGCCATAAACACACTTTAGACCAGGGGTTCTAGGAGTCTGCGCTCATCAGTGGCATTAGCGGGACTTCAGAACGGATGGGGGTAAGTGATCATGGTCGGAGTTGGTTCTTTGGATGGCGATGAGGATGGGGACACACACACACACATGCGCACGCAGCCCTACCTTCCTCAGCCCGCTGAAGGGGATGTTGAGCGGCAAGGAGAAGAGATTCTCCACCAGCTGCTCAAAGGTCCGAGCCAGCTCCTTGAACTGCTTCTCCTCCAGGCTGAGTCCCAGCAGGATCCGCGCGGCGATGCGGAAGGTCAAGGTCTTGGCGGAAGAATAGACGGCGACGGGGCCCGGCTGCTGGCACCAGCCGCGCAGCTCCCAGCGCACCACCTTCTGGATGCGGGGCAGGTAGCTCTCTAGGGCGGCGCGGCTGAAAACTCTGACCAGGATCTGACGCGGCGAAAAGAGAAGGGAGAGAATCGCGGCGGGCGATGTAAAATTAATTGGGGGAGCGGGGCGGTCGCTACTAGGGACATCGTGCCCCAAAGCCATTTTTCCCCTTCACCAGTCCCCCAGTTCTTTTCCCCATTCTGGTCTCTTGAATGGGCCAGTCGGTACAAACACCAGAAGCGCCGAGATTCTTCCCCGGACTATACCACTTTGCGCGTGTTTGAATGCTGAGCTATGGGGTGGGGAAACTTTCCTAAGCAGGGAGACATTGCCTGTGTTCAGTTATATGAGAGAGAGAGAGAGAGAGAGAGAGAGAGAGAGAGAGAGAGAGAATGTAAGAATGGGGGGGGGGGTTTGCAACCCCGGCCACCAGCAGTAGCCCTAAGTGGTATAGTCCTAGCAGCAACCAAGAGAATTGCGTAAGACGCGGGTCCTAAACCTTTGCGTGGCTACTGGAATCTGCGACAGCGCCTAGCACAAACTTCCACAGCCAGCTTTTAGCTATAGGGCTCCCCACCCCTAGATATTGCTGGACCGCATCTCTCATGGTTCCTCGCCATTGGCCGTGCTGGTTGAAGCTGATGGGAGTGGGGGCCCAACAACACCTGTAAGGGGGAGATGAATGCCAGCGAGCTGCCTTCTCTTCCCCAGAGGGCGCCTCGGCTCGGTTTCAGGCTCGGTTCCCTCCCCAGCGACGCGCCCCTCCGCCTCCTACCTTCCTGCGCTGGCGGTGCGCCTCGGCGCTGGCGTTGAGGAGGGTGTGCGAGCCCAGCAGGATCTGGGTGCTGAGCGGCCACTGGGCGCTCACCAGGCTGTGCTCTCCCAGCAGGATCTTGCGCACGTTGTCGGCGCCGCTCACGCGGATCACCGGCTTGCCCAGCAGGTGCGTCTTGAACACGGCGCCGTATCTTTGCCGCCGGGAGCTGTGGAAGCTGGAACCCTGCACAGCCAGTCAGATAAAGAGAGGGATGGAGACCCAGGCCTGGGCTCAAGCTTCGCAGACAGTTTGCGAAGAAAGTCGACGGTGTCTCTGAGATAGTGAGGAGCGCTTTCCCCACTGGGCCGAGTCCTCGCAGCTGCTGCTTTGTGTCAAACATATCCTGGTTCCCCAGAAAGAGCACCATCGGCCCGAGATCGCCTCCGAGGGGACTCAGAGTGCCTTTTCAAAGGGGGAATCGGTTTACTATGATTCCTAAATTTCAACCCTGGGACATGTGAAGAGTGTCTCTGAGCCTCACAAAAGTGCTTTCCTCCCTGCATTGAGGAACACCTCTGGAAGTGATACAGCCTTAGGCGCACCTGCTTGGGAATAAATCCCACTGAACTGACAGCTGGGCAAATGCGTCGTAAAATCATGCAATTGTAGAGTTGGAAGGGACCACAAAGGCCATGTAGTCAGATTCCCTGCAATGTCGGAACTCACGACCAGGAGATTAAGAGTCTCATGCTCTACCAACTGAGCTACCCCTGATTTGCCCAGCCCCCGTCCCCTCCAGCTCGAGGGCTTTCGTTTTCCCATCCTGAGAAATGGGCGACTAGCGGTAGGACCTTCCTTTGAGCGGGACACACTCTCTAGAACTCTTTTTCGGTGCCCTGATCATGTGCAGAGTGCCTCTGGGCTAAGCCCCCGCCCGCGGTCCTGGCTGCGCTAAGCCCAGGAGGCTCGTCCTTTACCTGCCCCGCCCGCCGCCGCCCCAGTGCTCACCTGGACCAGCCAATGCAGCGTCTCTCCGAAGAAGGGCCAACCCATGGAGCCCTTGGGCAGCGGCAGGGCGCTGGCGCGGTCTCGGCTCAGGCTCCAGCGCAGCGCCCACAGGTGCCGCGCCAGCGCCAGCAGGAAGGCCACCGCCAGGCAGGTGGCCAGCGCAGCCTCCAGCCAGGAGAGCGCATCCTCAGAGGTTGCCACCGGCGGCAGCATCTTCGTGCTCGGGCTGGGCAGCATCGCCCGGCGGAATTCACTGGCCGACTGTGGCCTCAGCTGGAGAGGGAGAGAGAAAGGGAATATTTGAGAGGGAAAATCTGCTACCAGATGCCAGGGCATCCTACTCCGGATTAGGATTCCCATAGAGGTGGGTTCAACTCACCATACAGGAAGCAAAGAAGCCAACCCATCCCCAAAATGCCACTTTTTATTCAAAGATGCTTTTCCTCGCCACCCGTCCATTAAAGTCCCCAAAGGAATCTTGCGCAAAGCTTGCGATCCAAAGCGGGGGCGCCCGCGCAAAACCTGAGAGTCAAACCGGGAGGGAGGTGTCAAGGAGACCTCCAAGACACCTCTCCTGGTGTGTCTCCCCCCGTCCCCCAAAAAACATAAAAGGAAACCCAACAGCGCAGCCGCTTTGCTCTCACCTCGGCGGGGGTCTCTTCCCGTTTCCACTGCGCGTCTGAAAGAATAGCAACCTACTTTGAAAGGATCGGGGAAACTACAGCGCACCGACCTTTCCTTTTGCGGCCAGGGAGTGAGAGGGGGCCATTCTGCTCAGAACCGGCGTGGCTGGGATCGGGATCCCTCGGACCCACTTGCAAGCACCACGAGCCCCATCCTCGACGGTCAGCCCCTAGGAATCCAAAGAGGATTTGCCCGCCCAGGCTGCTCGCGCATAGGGTGAGAACTCTGAAGAGGCTTCTTCTTCATCCCCCTCCGCCTTTCCCCTTCTCTGCCGAGCTGTCAAAAACCGCCTGCGCTCGGACGCTCCTTCTCTCACCCTTTGGGAGCATCCTTCGCGCACACCCCTTTTAACTATTCTCTGCCTTGCACAGATTTATATAGATATTGGCCAGCCACCTTCGCTGAGGGGTGCGCCTGCTGACGTCTCCGCTGCATATTTAAAACGGGGGGCCGAAAGCGCTGCGATTGGCGCCTGAGAGGGTCCGCGATGAAAGGGGGGGAGGGGGAGGAGGAAAGCGTTGCTGGGACGGACCTCTCCTGTCTCGGGAGGGGGAGACTCGCCTCGCAGGTAACCCAAGAGCAGCCCACTGGGACCCTACCCGCCCCGCCTGGATTTGGAAAACCAGGCGTCTCATTGGAAGCAGCAGGCGCTGCTTGGACTGGCTCCGGGAGCGATGCAGGACTTTATGCCAGGAGAGCTGAGACCTGGGAATAAGCCCCCTGCCCCTACTGAGCAGGTTAAGGCAATCCTAGACAGGTCTACTCAGAAATGAGAAATGAGCCTCCCCCCCCGCCCTTGAATTCAGTGGGGCTTACTCCCAGGTAAGCGGGCTTAGGGTCGCCACAGGTTAGCTCTGTAATAGTGATTCAGAGCAGGGGCGCGCAGAAAGATCTGTGGGTAATAAGACTTCTTGATAACAACAAAGCAGTTAATTCACTTCAGTCAGCCCTTTCTAAATCAGCAACCTGGGAATCTGCCTTATACCAAACCAGACCACTGGTATATCTAGGACATTATTGTCTACACTGACAGGCAGGCGCTCTCCAGAACGCCAGAAGTCCCAGGCCTACCCGGATTGAACCCGTGACCTGTAAAGCGGATGTTCCATCTCGAAGCTACAAAGGTTGTTACCTGGTGGGAGGAATTTGCACTTTCAGAAGCAGTGCGTCCCAAGGTGCCGTGGGGAGTTGCCTCTAGCTTCCTGGCTCCGGTTGGCGTATCTCCGGGTTTAAAAACTCTAAGCAGATCCCACCAGCCTGAAGTCTGTCAACATCTGGTTTACAGAAGATCAGGCAGGAACTCTCAGCTCGACGCTCCCTAGGTGGCCTTGGGCCAATCATTCTCTCCCAAAGCTACATTACAGGGTTGTTCGGAGGATTAAATGAGGGGAGGCGGGGGTGGGGTGCCTCTATCGATCACCCCTCAGCTACTTGGAGGGCAAGCGCGATGTACATGGAATAAACCAACTGGGTTTCTTCTGCCGCCCCAAAGAGGATGGCTAGGTGTTTTGTGGATTGGAAGCCGCAGGCGGCAAGCCACGCGTCTCTCCCCGTCCCTCCCTGAAATAACCCCTCTGGGCCCACTTTGGTGGGGTGTAGAAGTTCCCTCCGTGGGCAACGGCGCAGAGCTACTTCAGTCCGACGGAGTTGGGTCCTGTCGCTCCAGGAGAGGTGGGACTGCCATTTCAAGCAATATTAAAGAGAGAGGCGAAGACAGGGAGATGAAAGCCTTTGCTTGCTAACTCCCAAATATCACCCACAGGTAGCAATGGGGCGAGGCGCCCATGAGCTGCCCTGCAATCTGTGCTTCTTCTCTCTCACTTTAGTACGCGGATTGTAGCTTGTCGATTCCGGCCCTATCTCCATTTACGCGGGCCGGACTTCCAGCTACCTTAGCTTGGAGGTAGTGAGTAGGATGAGTCCCGGGGAAGGCTTAGTAACTACACAACCCGCCCCAATCCACACAGCTTTCGACAGGGGGAAGTTTCTACTACCAACTCTGCACCGCTCTGAACGAATGCTAGTGATTCTTATTAGCAAATATTAATAATATGCACCCATGAAGTTCGCAAGGTTCTCTAATGCCTGTGGTTTGCGCCGCTTTCCTAAACATTTGCAGCCAAGTTCTGGGTGGGATGACGCCGAAGCCACGCATGTAGAGATTCGCTTCGAAGGCGGCAATTGCTCAGCAAATTTATCTCGGGTGCAGCCGGCAAAATTCCTTCAAGGAACCGGCAACGGCAGGGGAACAGCTCTCCTGGAGGGATTAGCGAAGCAAATGCCGCTGCTTTCCAAGCCGCGTTTTGAAGTCACCTTCCAGCTAATTTGCGTCTGCTTTATTGAACATAAAGTTAGGAAATTACACGACACACGTGCTCTTGCGTGGGCGAAGGTCTTAGGTTGCATTTGTGGCAACAGTAGCGGTAAGGGAATTGAACGCTGATAAGTTCATGTAAGCAGCTTGGTGACCCCTCCCCCCCATTGTATCTCGCCTTTACTGCATATTGTAGAGGTTTATTGCACTTGCTTTTGTATTATTATTATTATTATTATTATTATTATTATTATTATGTCCCTCAACGAAAAGACCACAAAGACATGGCCTGCGGAGAGAAGACCCGAAGGCCACAAGCGACGAGCGAAAGGCCATCTTAGACGGTGACAAGAACCTCAGGCCGAAAGACCTGAACGACTAGTTTTGAACCCTAAGGCACAGTCGGTTTTTCTTTTCCTGTTCAATCCAAGCGGGACCAGAAACATGCGGGTCCATTCCGCACACCGCATCCTCTCTCCTAATAGCCCAGTTCCATACTCACTGAACTTGCTGAGTTCTGTCCTCTCCGTCCCCCGTTTTTTGCACTTATTTATTTAGAATACTTAGACCCCGGCTTCGTCCCGCTAAGAGGCTCTATCTCAAATCACCTTCCTAGCCCCAGTGGTGCCCATAAGAATGGCTAACGAGTGACATTAGCGGAAAAAGCTACAGGATTTTCTCAATACTGGTCCTTAAACAAAAAAGCGTCTTTTCTACTTCCCAGATAGGGCTGCCCCTTAGAGATCCAGATCACAGAAGCATCTGTCCTTTGTGCTGGAGCGTGCGGGGCGGGGGGGCTGAAGAAGTGAAGCTGCACCACTTTCCCACCGAGGTGCGTAAGTGCGTGGTGCCTCTTTCCCCGCTGCAGCGCCTGCCAGGTCCCATGGATGCATAAAGCCCGGGTCTGCGCCTTCATTCAAAGTTCTTGCAGGATGTCAAGATCAGAGGACACCTTTCCCTGTTTCACTTAATGTCAAGGGGACTCTCTGGCTCTCCAGCCATCTATCCTACACCCCAGTTTCCCTGCTGCATTTGTCAAGAACCGGGAAATGATTCCAGGTGCCCGGCTTGGCGCAAAGCAAGCGCGCGGGGCGCTCATCACGTCTCCCAAGACTGTGAAGGCCAAATTCCCGTCGATCTGAGCTGCTCTGTTGGCTCGCTGAGTCTTTGTAAAGCCAAAATTGTTACAGGCGCGTCCTTAGCATATAAGAGCAATTAGGGGCCTGGTCCAAAGCCTGTTCTCACAGTGGCCAACCAGATGCCTGTGGGAAACCAGCAAGCACAAGAACCCTCTCCCCTCCTATGGTTTCCAGCAACTGGTATTCAGAAGCACTGCGCAGAGCACAGCCATCATGGCTAGTAGCCATCGGCAACTTAGAATTTGTCTAGTCCTCTTTTAAAGCCATAGAGGTCACCGCTGCCTCCTGTGGAAGCGAGTTCCATAGCTCATCCTTGCGCGGCGTGAAGAGGCACTTCCTTTGATCTGCCCTGAATAGCTTCGTTGTCCATTCGACCCTCTCATTCCCAATTCCGCCCCCCAATTGCTGGAACTTCAACAGCAAACTACCGGCCCCCTTTTTAGCCAGATCTGAAGACCTCCCTCGCTAAGAAGCAAAAGAACTTACCCGGCTGCCTCACGAGGAAAGGTGGGCTGCAGAGGCCTTATTGCAGGGCAGATCAAACCCTCCGAGGATGAGGCCAGGCTGGCCCCGTCCATGCCCTTTGGGGGCCATCGGTCTTGGCCAGCAAACCCGAAGCGACA